GGAGTACTTCACTGGTCTGTCATAAAATGATCTTATTAATATTTGGGGGATAACAGTTAGAACAGACAAAAAGCTCTGACAAGGTTTGCCACCCATGACGTCTCTGTTCAGATTCCAATGTTGTCTCTGCCAATGACCACAGGTATTTACAAATGAACCTTACCAGGAGCCAGTGTCGACAGAATGTTGCTGATTAACTTAGCGGTAGCTAAAAAACAAAAAAAGAAGAAGAAGATGATGTGCGAGGGATCGGCTGGAAATAAAAAATCAACAGCAAGGATATAAAGATTAAAAGCAGGGACAGAGTGCAGGAGAGACAGGCACTGAAGTAGAATGGGAGAGAGTGGAGAGCAGCAGTGTCTGAAAGGCAATGCTAGTAAGTGAGCTCTCTGAGTGGATCTGCTATCAGGTCAATTCTCCCAATACCACAATTGAATAAATGCCCTTAAGGTAACACATAAAATGACTTCTCATTTAGCTGCGATATCCCCCGCAGGACCACATTAATGCCTTATTTATGGACCTGACACCTAAAGTTCCTCAGGTAATGTGCTGCCTGCCTGCTGTAAATATTACTGACAAGGTGGAGTCACACTTTCCAAACAGCGGTTGCTGGTACAAAGTGAGCGTGCGTAGTGGAAAACGGCTCTTGTTCTAGAAGCTTCTTCAGTTCTGGGAGTTAGTGGTGGTCTCCTGACTGGAACAGACTGATGGTCAGAGCTAAGTGGTTAACAACTCAGTCGTTAGATTGTTGCAGTTACTAAATGTCACATGACAGCTGTGTTGTCTGTAGGGTGAACTGGTGAAGGTGGCAATCAATAAAATGATTTAGTTCAAAAGATCACAGGCCGGGAACCTTTTAAATACAGGAGGAACATTTTTATCGTTTTATCGCCGGATAAATTCTGAAAAGAATATAAAATACAAACAAAATATTTATTTTGTGTAGACCTAAAACCAGCTCCTCTTGAGTTGAGGAGGAATATCATGGTGTTTTGCTGTTAGCAAGCAAGTTGAAAATGTCTGTATAACAGAGAAAATTCAGTGCCACTATAACAGTATTTGTCAGGCACAGATAAGTCACTGGCTGCCAGCTCAGAAGCAACAGGTTTCAGACAATTGGTCTGCACAAAAAAAAAAAATTAGAATAGCTAATTGTATTTCCATATACAGTATATTCCCTTTATTATTGTATTATTACCAGTTTGCATTTTTTCCTGTGTGTTAATGACTTACATCTTTTGAATAAAACACGAGGACACAGAACTGATGATCTTTCACACCATAGTTACAGTGAAGCCCAGTTTGTGGAGTGGATCGTAGTCACTGTTGGTTGATGTGATGTTCAGCGTCGTCTCTGCAGCCAGATATTCACCCTGACTGCTGACTCCAACTCCCCAGGTGCTGCAAAACACAGCTGAGACTCTGCTCAGCTCTGAACGCTCTGACCCATTTCAGTGCACACACACCCGCTTCCGAAAACTTACTGGCACATTCATAAAAAGTTAAGCCACCACATATAAAACACAATATGTTCATTTTTTTTTGTTTCATCTTGTGATACAACTCGCCAGAAGTTTTTAAGTCGAGTCATATTTCTTTCTAAACTAAACTAACGTCTCACTTTAGAATGGTGGGCTGGTGGTTGTTTGGAATATTATTCTTGCCCCAGCTGGAATATCAAAGTTTGGAGTGTATGAGGTTGTCAGTGAGATAAGATAAGATAAAGGATCTCATATTATTATGACATCACCAAGTATCGTATAACAGTGATGCCCAACCCCAGGTCCATGGACTGGCACCAGTCCGAGGGTCATTTGGTATAAGGCTGCAGTGATAAAAATAATACTTTATTCTATGTAAAAAGAATCTGGTAAATTCTCAAAATAAAAACATCTTTCAGATTTTAATTCTAAAAAAAAAAGGTTTATTTTGAAAGTTCACCGATCCTTAACGATTCTTTAATGATCAGTGACTGGCTGGTACTGGTCGACTAGTCCTTGGTGCCGCTGGTTTAGACCATTCACAACAATACTTGATGAGGTCTCCATGTGAATTATTGAAAAATGATTTTAATCTTAACAATTAGACTCTACATTTGAACATGTTCTTAGCTGGTAAACAATGAAAACAAATCCACTGGTCCAGGCTTTACCATGTGACGTGAGTTTATGACAGGATTTCTACTCCATGTTGCTGATTAGTTTTTCCAACTCCAGTGTTATAATCAATGACCAGCAATCAAGCGATAAACTGTTTGTAAACTACTGGGTGTGTTGATGACTCACCACGATAAATACAGGAGCATGTGGGCTCTATAAACATAAACCTGGCTCTGCTCATATGTGACTCAGGTCCACATGGTTTTGTGTGTATGTTGATTAAAAGCAATTTATTTTACACACACACACACACACACCACGTGTTGGTCCACACTCCAGGGCTCTGTAGGAGAGGCAGTTCACAGGTCAGGCTCTAAGGCAGTATAACTGCACATGTTGTGCCTGACACCGTATAAACATATCAGCGAATGGTGGCATGCCAGAAGAGATGAAGCCTGAAAGTGTGTTGCTGCACGATTTGGACTCAGCCGCTGAGACAGACATGCTGTGTATCTTCGGCACTGGGGACCTTGGACGCTCTCTGGGCCTGCGTCTGCTCCAGTCCGGCTACAGGGTTGTTTACGGTAGCCGCAGACCTCACAGCTGTGGCCCTCTGCCTCCGGGAGCTCAGGTATAACAAATGACATGACACTGGACATGACACTAATTTATCATGAGCAGGAGAAGAAGTGTGATGTTAGAAGAAATGTTCTGGATGTCTGTGTTGTGCAGGTGATGAACCATGTGGCAGCAGCTCGGTCCAGCAGCCTGATCTTTATTTGTGTTCACAGAGAACACTATGGATTCCTGGAGACATTGGCACCGCATCTGGAGGAAAAGGTTTAGTATTCAATATAATGACTGTAGCATTAGACCTGATGTTGCTCTTCTCTTTTATATTATTATCAGTGTAAATAAAAGACAATGACTACAAGCTGAGGTCTTACAATACATTATTATATATACATTAACTTTAATGTGTAGAGCAAGGCCGCAGTGCCATCCTTTTCTTTAGCATTTATCATTTTGTTGGACAATACGTTCCAATTTCTTAATTGTTGCACTTAAAAACTGTGGTAAAATAAGTTAATCCTGAAAAAATGGATATAGAAAATGATGATGAAAATTCAATTTAACTGTAATGGACGTTTATTTTTAATTTAATTTAATTTATTTTAATTTGTAGATAATGCACAGTGATGATCTTTTCCTCATCTTTTTTCCCCTTATTTTTATTTGATTAATTTCTTTTTAAAGAAAAGCTTTGTTTGAACTAAACCAAAGTGTGACATCAACACCTGCATTTCTATTGTGAAATATAATCAAAAACCTGACTTTAATTTCACCATTGATTTAATACTTTTATCCATAAAGGTGCTGGTGGATCTCAGTAACAATCTGAAGAAGGACGTGTATCCTGAAGCCAATGCCACCTACTTGCAAAGGTAGGCAAAATAATACATTACATCTAATAATGTAATACGTTACATCTGTACATTACAACTCTATTATTTTATGTAGATCAAGTTAGTTAAAATGGAAAAATAAAATAATTTCATTTATGTTTGCTTAAAAAAATGATGTTTGCTCTGATTTCACAATTTCAATTTTTGAAGGTTACAATGTTGATGGCAAAGTTATGTGTTTGCTTTATTTTATAACAAATCCTGGATGTTCAATCTGAAAGAACACTTTAAGTCTTCAGTGAATCCACTGGGTTGTTGTGGTTTGTGGTTCATCTATTAATGTAAGTTGGAACAAACTTTGAAACATGAAGGTTGAGCACAAAGATCGTTTTGCAGTTTTAGCCACGGATGTCTTTGTTCTTCATTTAAAAAAAAATATTCTGGAACTTTTATCTGTGAGAATAAAGCGTTCTATTTTATACCAGTTAAAACTATTCACAATCAACTTAAGGAAACTGAGGCTCGTGGCTGCTTCAGACCTGTAGTGTTTAGTTCAAACACTAACATTTTCACCTGTTTTCCCTTTTTTTGATTATTAGTGGTTGTATAAATTGTTGCTGTGTGTTTTCCAGACTTGTTCCCAAAGCTACTGTGGTGAAAGGCTTTAACACTCTGTCCGCATGGGCCCTTCAGAATGGACTTCTCGCAGGAAAACAGGTGAGTGAGTGAACCCAGTAACAGACACGTCTGAGGCTGAATGGTCTGTGATGTAACAGAAAGACTGGAACACGCTGATCGAGTCCTAATGACACGACAAATGGAATTAATGTTAATTTTGTTGCTTAAGTAGACAAAGACTACAAACTCTAACTGTTTGAAGCTAAATGTTGCATATATTTCTGGACATTTTTCCAAATGAATGATTCCATCATTTGGATTAGTCACAAATAAAATCAGGTGTGAATTACGCTTTACATCCAACTGTTTTGATTTATTATATTTCAGAATGTTGAGTCATCTCATTGAAACGACATTAATCCAGATTAATCTACACGAACGAACATAATCAGAGTTAATATTTTATTTTTATTTGTCAGTGCTAATTAAGCCATACATACTGTAGACAAAAAAGAAAAAGTTCAAAACAACATGGATCAATCCCAGCAGTCTTGGCCTACAGCAGATAAACAAAGGAAGAGCATAGGCTCTCTTCAACCTGAACAAAAAGTAATATTCAGACAGACCCAAGGGGAACACAAGGGATATTACAATCTTCAAATGAAGCATGTTTTACAGCAACACTGTCACAACTTCTGTTGGTGAAGGTAGATGGAGTCTCCTCCACGAGAGCAGACAAAATTGAGGAAAGTAATTGATTTAATTTGCATTACTGCATAATATTGATTTTTCCGCATTTTCAACAACAATGTGGGAAGAAAAATGGGGTCAGAGTCTGTGTAAACACACACAAAGAAACAAACAAACACACTTTATGATGTTACAAAGTCAAAAGACCAATGTTTATTGCAGCTTCTGTTGCAGCTTCAAAGAGAAAACGCAAACATGCTGGAACCTCAGGAGACCAAACCTGAATCTGCCTCCAATCCTTTTCAACAGAAACACACACCCTCGCTCACAGACACACACACACACACAATGTACCGCAGTGCTCTATTTTCTTTGAAAACAGGTAGCTACGAGCAAGCGGGAGTTGTGAGTTTGAATGTGTGCGCATTTGTGTAGATACAGTCCGCAGCCGCGTGCACACACACTCGTGAGTGCGTACTATTCCCCAGCCAGCCATTTGATCAGATCCACAGCGGGGTTGCGGCTCTGTCACATTTACATTCAGATGGAGATTTAGTCTGTCGGTCGTCCCCTGCTGTTACTGGTGCAGTAATGTAGGGAGACATGGCTGGCCGCCCGCTCCACTTATATACACACCTGGGGGAAAACTGCTCAATCTCACTGATTCGCCTCTACGCCCGTCAAACACTCTCTTTGCCTCTAATGCTCCCCAACCATCTATCTTGATTTAAATGAGAGTGTAATTTTTTTTTGCACTTTTTACACATCTTAATTGTTTTATCACCGAGCTGTGACTGTAGTAATACGCTCCAACTGGTGAGATGAAAAAAAAAAGCAGCAGGAAAATGAGCAGTGTATGAATATAATGCTGTTCACATCCGTTTACAACTTTCTTCCAACATATGCTACGCCCATCTTCTCGCTTTATTTCAACATAATTGGAGACAGAATGGGGCAGACAGGGCAAACAAAAGGTTAATTGTGGCGACAGATTCCGGCTGTCGATATTTAGAGATAACGAAACTGGCGACTAATTCAACATTCAGAGTGTTATATGAGGCTCTGGACTACAGAAGCTTCTGAACGAAGCTCCATCCACTTCTGTTAATAACAGATTGTATCAGACATAATTACAGATGGAGACATTTTCAAAGGTAATGATGAGTAAATCTTCACAGACAGGAAGCGTTATTAGGCCTCCTACTGCCCATCAAGTAACAGTCAACAAAAAACGAGCGTCAAATCCCCTACATCGTGATCTACCAGTAGGTCACAAATGGACCTGGTAGATCTACTGTATATTTCCAGTTTCAAAGGGAATCTTTATGTTAGTGTGCCAAGGGATAACAAATGTAAAAACTAACTGTCTGCCGTTGGTGTTTGCTTTACTTTTCCGGGTTTTTCTCCAGGTGTTTCTGTGTGGGAACAGTGCGGAGGCGAAGCGGGCAGCAGCAGATGTGGCCACCAAGCTGGGACTTACAGTCCTGGATAAAGGTTCTCTGTCTGCAGCCAGAGAAATTGAGGACTTTCCCCTGCGGCTGTTCCCAGAGTGGAGGCTGCCTCTGTGTGTGGCCGTCGGCCTGACTGCCTTCTTCTTCTTCTACCTGCTCATTAGAGATGTCATCTATGCATACGTGGAACAGGAGAAGGATATCTCCTACAGAATTATGATATCTCTGGCCAACAAGGTAAAGACTCCCGAACCCCACACACCCACTCACTTTTTTCGTGATCCCTTCAATGCAAAGACGTGATTTGAGCACTGTCCGTCATCTTTCAGGTGTTTCCCATCGTGTCACTCATCATGCTGTCTCTGTGTTACCTGCCCGGTGTCATCGCTGCCTTCCTGCAGCTCTACAGAGGAACCAAATACAAGTAAGAGAACGAAAACACAAATGTTTTATCATCCATGTGTTTTTTTGGTCTTGCTGGTAGATGTAGCTGACTAAACAATTTTCCTTTTGTCATGTGCTAGGCGCTTCCCTGATTGGCTGGACCGCTGGATGCTGTGCAGGAAGCAGATGGGTCTGGTTGCACTGGGCTTCGCCTTCCTCCATGCCATCTATACGTTCGTCATTCCTATTCGCTACTCTGTCAGACACAAACTCATCTCACGTGTGGTGGACGAGGTAGACCATAACTCTGTCCATATATTTTACATACATTTTCAGGAACAATTAGTAAACACATTTTTTTTATTCTTTATTAAACTAAATGTGTTAAAGTGATTTCAAATTCATTAATAAAACTAAAGGGAAAATAAATAAAAAATAATATTTAAAAAAACAAGATAAGTACAGTTTAAATTTCGGCCTACTGAACAGAAAGTGAGCAGAGCTTTTTCACCAATCACTCCGGTGTCTTTCTTAAGAGTAAACAAAAACTACCTATCATTGGACTGACACATTTTGAATGAAGTATTGGCCACAAAACTGATGCCAGTTTTTGTATGGGTTTATACCCAGTAGCTATCACTGGCTATTGGAAAAAATACATAAAATCTGTTATTTACTACATTCAAAACCACATCACAGTGTTTTTCTCTTCATTACACCTGTATTCATAATTTTCAATGTTGAATGTACTTGAAGAGCTATTATATGATATAATATTATTTAAGCAGTTCATCTATTTCTCTGTACCTCTGTGTTTGTCTTTCTTATTCCCCTCAGATGAAGGAAAACAAAACCACACCGTTTTACTTTGATAACACAGAAGCGTGGGGCACAGACTCCTTCTATGTGCTGGGAATCACAGGTTTCTTTCTCTACGTCCTGCTCGCGTTGACATCGCTGCCCTCCGTAGGAGGCTCTCTCAGCTGGAGAGAGTTCACCTTCATCCAGGTCAGAGTACAGCTGGAACTGAAACATGCTCCATTTGCCGGTGCTTCTACCGATACATCTCTGTGTTTGTTTGTGTGGATTCGTTCACCTTTACGCCGGCAAACATTATCAATCATGTGCTCTTTATCAGTCGCCGTAATCTTCCTTTGTGATAATCTAGACTTTTCACATTTACTTCAGGGTCATTAAACGGCTACAGAAGCACTATGTCATCTGCCCTGTTTCCCCAGAGCCTAGTTAACCAACAGCCTAACACTGGCTCACAGAGCAGGAGCCGGGCAGAAATTAGCCCAAGATTTTAAATGTTAAGTTATTCATTAAATAGAATTATGATATCTGGTGTAATCCCCGGTGAGAAAATTGTTAATTCAGGTCACACGTCCATTTGTGTAAAGGTCACATCTGTGGTAGACCTCAGAGTGGGAATAAATCCTGATGCTCAGGTCAAGGTCAGTATAATCAATATGACCTGTTGTGAAAGGTAGAAGAAAAACAGGTATTTATGTTAGCAGTTTTTCTGTTGCAGTTGTGATCACAGTAGTCACTAGTTGTCCATGTACATATGGGTACATTTCAATATACCTACTCTCACCACAGGGATTTGCTGTTTTAAATTGATTTAATAAAAACCCCTCATTAGCATTATGGAAGCATTACAGCATAACATTCATATGAATGTTTCCTTATTGTTGTGCTGTTTACACTCATTGTAATTCACCGCGGATGACAACATTAGGAGGCGAATGCTAAAAATGTAAATGAAGGCACATTATCCAAGTAATTAACAATAACTGAGCCTCAAAGGCCACTGGTGCTACAAAACCAATGATTATGAGCCGACTGGGAAACAAGTTGTATTTTTAAGCTCACACAAAGGGCGTTGGAAGCAGAGGAAATGAAGAAAGACTATTTAAATGTTGTTGTTACAGTAGAACTCTGATGTTTACATCACATTACATAACAGAGTGAAATATGGTTTTGATATGTTCTAAATGCTTTTTGTCTGGCCCATTTGACTCTATTCGCTCGACTTATTGCATGAAATAATGACACTATGTTGGCCACGCCTTAATTGGTAAAAATCTTGGTAAAAATGTACAGAAATCTACAAAAAAAATCTACATACAGATTATGTGCTTGTTTAAGAATATAATCTGTATGCCACTAAGGAACAGTTTAATCATTAAAAATGGTTTAAGTTTGAAGTAGAGTCATCCAGATCTTTTCACAGACTGATACAGCTGGGTTTCAGTAAATGTGTAACTCAAAGGCAGTGTTACTCTACATATGTAGTTTGCACAGCTCTGTGCACTCTATAGGTGTGAGTTCAACCCAAACCACAGTGAGGACAAAATGTTTATATCCAGTTATGTTAAGTAAGGAAACAAATCGTCCTATATTAAACTAAATTCTTTAAACTACTATATATATGTCATTATATAAGACAATATACCAATAAAACCATGGTCAACATACATAAAAATATAATTAGAAAAGCATGAATATAACAGTTAACAGCTGGCTGAACAGAAAGTGGGCAGAGTTTTTAAAGCGCATCTCAATTGAAAACACGTCGTACAAAAGAAAAAAAACTGTTTCAGTGTACTTCAATTGAAAATAATTCAGTTGATAAGTTTTGCCCCATCATTCTACCACAGTATCATCTGCGTAGATGAAAGACTTATAGCTAAGTGAGAATTCTAATTGTTCAACTTGAAAAGTTCCTAAAGCTAACTGCCTGAACGTTGCCCTCTTCTTTCCCTCAGTCCAAGCTGGGCCACCTCACCCTGTTCATATGTACTGCTCATGGTTACGTGTACGGCTGGAACAAATTTCTCAAGCTCTCCACCTACAAGTGGTACACTCCTCCTGGGTACATGCTCTGCCTGATTGTGCCGTCAGTGGTTCTGGTGCTAAAACTGCTACTCCTCCTTCCCTGTGTGGACCGCACCCTCACCCGCATTCGACAAGGCTGGGAGAGGAACCAGTCGAAGGAAACCGTGGGTGACAACAAGGCCACAAACCTGTGAACTAGGGATGCCAGTTCGTCAAGGTTAAAGTTTGATGACTGACATTTCTTTATTCAACAGTTAGAGAGAGAACTGTTTAAAATCAAACTAATCTAAACGGCACTAATAAAATTTTCTTAATTTGTGTTAAATTTGAAGAAGTAACTTCTTGATTTATTTCTTAGTTAAAACTCTACACATCTACAGTTCCCCTAAAATTATACAACAACCTAACCAATAATTATTGCTGATTTCAGTGAGGTCAACAAGGTGGAATAAGTGGTTGTTGCCACTGGTATTTCCACATCACTGGCTCAGGAGTATAATCCCTGGTCCAAAGTTTGCATGTTCCCACAGTCTCTGTTCATTTCTTTTTCCAGTCTAAAACATGCAGGAAAAGGCAGTCGGACACTTTAAAATATCCATAGGTGTGAATGTGAATGCAGATGGTTGTGTGCTTCTGTACAATGGCCCTGAAAAGACTGCCAACGCTCCGTTGACCGCTCCCTCCCCCATGCCAGTTCAACCCTGTCATTAAAGGTACAGTTCAGTGTATGAATTACTGGCCTACAGTCAGTGTGATGTGTGCAGTACAGACTCTAAATGTACCTGTGAATGAGAACTAGTTTTGGACCAAAAAGACCAAAAGTCAAAAGTAAATCATATTCATGCTGTAGACTTCTTTCAGAATATACTGTTTAAAAGGCTGCACTTTCTTTAGCACAATGTTTTCACAGTCTTCCACCAGGTTTATAAGACTCTGAGGGTGCTGAGGTTTTACACTGTGTCTATCACACCAGCTACAGGTCAGAATGTAAAGGACCCAGCTTTCCCATTTAGTACCTCTTACATTTTATTCATTTTAAACAAAATGGATTTTCATCCCCTTGTTTATTTTTAGAGCAGAGTAAATCAAAAGGAGTCACATGCTGATGTAAAGTGTTTAGATGAGAAAACACAGCCAGTTCCAATAGTTGAACCTCTTTTTTTCCTCTCCCTATAACGTGTGCCGTTGTTTCCCTGAGGTTTCTGTTTCTGCCGAGGACGTTATTGATCCCCTTATTTTCTCCCACAAATTTGCAGACTAATCCTGCCTCTTCTCCAGGGCACAGAACCGTGTGACTGTTTAATTCACACATAGTTCCTTGTTTGACACAAAGGACAGCGGGGTTAGAGTAATCAAGCAATCACACATGCACACACCCTCAAGTGTGTAAAAAGGAATTACACGTTTGGTCAGCACAAGCAGCCACGGAATACCTTATCATCCTTGTGCACACCTAATCACTGATATGTTTTATATGGAAGCTAAACATTTATAGCAGATCATTGTGCCCCGGTGATATGGTTGTAAAGTTTTGCATCATCTGCAAATGATTGTAATCAAACCTAACAGAACGCATTTAGATGGTGGACGAGATTTGTGTACGGATGTCTTGTTTTTGCCAGGCATGCGTTTCAATTTCCCGGGCAGCTGTGCCAGATTTTGAGCTGCACAACATCACTTAAAGCTGGAAAAAAGTGTGCCACACTTTTATCAAGCTGGGAGGAACCAGAATAATTCTGTTAAAAAATGGAGTCATTCTTCGCCCGCAGCGGAATATTCAATGACATCCTGTTATCTCGCATCTAACAACATTATCTGCACACACAATCTGTAACGCCTTACATCCTTCTCTTTTGTATTATTTTTGCATTACCAAAGAGCTGGAGTGCGTTTAAGCCCCTCTTTCCTTTGTATGCATGTGTAGTGTGTGTTTATGTGAGCTATATTAATGAACCAGAATGTTCCACTGTTGCCTTAGGCAAGAATTAAGATGTACTGTAGCAACATCTAGAGAATCTGTGAAAGGAGGCAACTTACAGCCATTATTTCCACTCCTGTTTAATTTCAGTCACCTAGACAACCTTGAAACTCATAACAAGATTATGTGTGTCCTGCCATGAAAGGTTGACTCAATATGAGCGTAAATAAACAGCTGGGATTGTGGATGTGGCTGCAGATCATGGAGCAGATTTAAAAAAATAAATAATTCATTACTCTAAAAAAAAAAGAAAAAGAAAAAAAAAAGAAAGAAAATAAATGCTGTTCCTAGATGATGAAAAAATTATAATTTTGATACATTTCTTAATGTTGGATTTAAAGTTTTGTACAGAACTGGATTTGTGCTTTTCAACAAAACAGTCATTACTGTAAATCAATTATCATTATATTTTTCTGTCACTTTTAAATAAAAAATAAAAATAATTATAAAGTAATTACAGAGGTTGTTCTTCATAACTCTTACACAAGTTAACATTGGACTTGACAACTTTAAGAGGACACTGTCTGTCGAATTTGACGATATGATTAGACTCCCTGTTTCTCCCAGTCTGTTGAGGTGAAAGTTACCCCTTCATTACATCAGGGCGCAGCAGAGGCTTCAGGGGGGACATTTCCATGTTCCCACACAGTGCACAACAGTTAATTGATTGAGCAGGACTGTCAACAAAAGACACATTTAGCTTAGAGTTTCTTGCAGCTTTTATCATTTAGCCTAAGATGTTGTGAAAGACCTCAGAGATTAACAAGTAGCCTACAGCATCTCAGTACACTTCCTTTTATGGAGGAATTCTTTGTAGAAATGATGTAAGTGCCTGTGGATTATCTATCATAGTGCATATTAACTTACAATATGTACTGTAATGTTGCACAAGTCTTTAGCCATCCCTGTTATTTCGCTGTCTGAAATATGTTCTTACTTATAGGAATTCTCAGACTTACAGTTCATTTTTAATATAATTTCTCTTTATTTTTGGGAAAAATGTATGTGTGTATTGTGTATGTGTGTAATTTGCAGAAGCCTCTAAACTGTTTTCGCTTTGTGACCTAATGGATGTTTTCCGTTTTCATTTTCTTTGAAATCATAATTGCATTGATTGAAGGTGTATGTAAAAACATAAAAGACCGATAACAGATAATGTATATTAAATAATTCTTTAATTCTGCATATCGGCAACATTTCAAATGTCCTGTTACACTTGAATCTACCACTGGATTCACTTCATCCCGGGGGGTAGGGGGGTGTAGCCCTCAACAGCCAATCAGGAGCTACGCTGTTGACGTTGAGCTTGTTAGTGTACAGGTGAAGCACGGATTTCCTCGGTCGTGTATCAGCAGAAAATAAGGAAGCGATTTGCAAAAGCGATTTCATGTAGGAAATGAGAAAACCAAGTACAAGTACAATGTGAAAGCAGACAGATAAACCTGCGCGAGTATCAAGAGCCAAGTGACAGAATGAAGGAGCCGAGTTACGTCGGTAAGACGGATTGTTTATTGTAGAAAGAATCGCCGTTAAAGCTTTCATCGTCCATGCTAATGCTAATTCTGTTTAATAGTTATTACCCTCCATTCTGTGAGCCGATACAGGCCCCAACATCAGGTCCTCAGATTGAAACAGAACAACGTTGAGAAAGGTATTTCTCTTTTAGCTGCTCAGATGCTATGAGTTATTTAGTTCTATTAGGATTATAGTTGTATATATACTGTACATGAGGTTTATAAATTAACCAGGAGGAAGTTTTGGCGTCGTTCCTCGCACTAGTAGGCCTTTAGTGAATGCACAGTTCTGTGATACTTCTGAAAATTACTCACTATGTACATTCCTTAGTGTTTTATTTGTACTTTATATTATGTGTTTACTTACCATAATGAGTATTATTTAGACACTGCTCACGTTTTTGTATGTCTTTAGCAACAGTATATTGAATGTTTAACGTCGTACAACTGAAACTTAATATTTGAGATTTGATGAGATTGAAGAATTGTAAATTAAGGTTTCTGCAATATGTAGAGTTTTGACATTTGACCTTTTAAATCATGCATCTGAGAATAGAATGTAATGGATGTGACCTTGTCTCTATGTCAGGTTGTTGAGAGGACGGGAAAGTTCAAGGACAAGGACGAGATCCCAGTCGTATTTGATGGCGTGCTATTAACCCTGAAGGAGAAGACACAGAGGCGATACACACACACACACACACACACACACACACACACACAAACACAAACTTTTAAAAACAGGTGAACATCCATCAGTATATTTACTGACAACATATATTTAATTTGATTCCAAGTGTGCACACGTTTTGTTTCTGATTATCTGGGTCATTATTTTCTTGTATAAATGGTTTTTTCCATTGCTGTAAAATTATAAGAGTAACTACTCAGCGATCAGTGTCTGTCTGATTTATTATTGCTGCTCAATATTTGGCTCTTAATGAGTGTCGTCTGATTCTAGTCATGCTTTATTCCTAGTTTAAATTGATATTATACTATAATTCAGTTTAATGAAATCTAAATTCTGTTCCAAAAGGAAAGTTTATTATTTACTGGATGAGTCATAGATGACACCTAATGTTGATGTTCTTTTTTTTTTTTTAGGTGTTTTTAACCTCACAGAAATTAAGCCCCAAACCATTACAGAGCCTCCACCAAGTTTTAACTGAAGACACCTAAGAGTTACTACTGTATTTTCACCTGACCTCCACCTGACGTATTGACAGCACAGTTAAACCAGACTTTTGTTGTTTTTCTTCTTTGAATATTTTGCCCTTTTCTCCACATTTCTTCCTTCTTTTTGGTCCAGAGTTTTACCTTGGAGATATTCTTTGATAAATCTTTGGTGAGTACTTTTCAAATATCTTTAATTATCAACCATTAAAACTTATAGGTGAACCCTGGAGTGGGATGAGACTGAGACAACTAGACAGTGCACATTAACATTTGATTTTGACTGAACTTCCTGACAACAGGATAGGGTTTTTGAGAAGGAAGGAAAAAACACAGGAAAGAATGAGCTACTGTAGGGAGTTCTAAAGCACTTTAAGGTCCAACATGTTTTTGATTCCCAAAAATAACTTCTGTTCACTGAATGTTAAACAAATCCAGTCTTTTTGGCACATGGATATATCCCTTTTGTTTCCAGCAGCACAAATTAATGAAAAATACATGCACGCAGCATCAGATCTCCTTTTCATGTGTGCACACGTGAGGAGCTGCAGCCGCTCGAGTGCTAAAGCATCACCTGAACAGCAGGTGCTGTTGCCCAGAGGAATTCTACACAACCTGCAGATTTTAAGCCCATGGGCTGGACTATGAGGAAATGATTCCAAACACATAATATTGTATTTACACATGCAGATGATGGATTAGGACTACACGCTGAACTGAGCTCTTAAGATGTTTTTTTTGTACATATATAGGTTTTACCCAGCTCTTGCACTTTTCTGCAGTGAAATCACAGAGCAGTTTCCAGTCAAGGCAGCACCCGAGGAACAGCTGGAGCTCTTATTGGAGAATTGATAATGTGGGAAAAAATGAATTGAGATGATTGAGATGCAAAAGCAGGATGGAGTGGAGGAAAGTGTAGCCGTTACTGTGGCAGAGCCGAGTGCAAGAGGGAGAGGATGCAGCTTGAGTTTAGCCTGGAGCAGTACATTTAGTCACAGACACCTTGTTATCTGGAATCTAAAAACATAATCTATGCGCACAATCTGAAATCCCAAGCACCCTCGCGTTATGTATTGTTCTCCTATTACCAGGGAGCTGCTGTTAATTTTAGCTTCGTCCCCGCTCTGTGTGTTGTGTGTGTGTCTGCTTGTTTGCCTGATAATATACGGAGATACAGAGATTCCAATTTTGCCCTGGAGGGAAATTAAGATAGGAGAGGAAATGCTGTGAAAAGCTAACTTACATTCATCATCGGCACTCATGTTTAATTTTACTCACCCAGACAACCTTCATCTCTGTAGGAAGGGTGTGTGCACGCACTTGTGCTACCATGAAAGCACCGGCTCAGGATTATTATTAGTAACTAACGGACAATTTGGATAATAAGGAATATGGATCACTGGTTGGTTTCATTGTTTTGTATAATACATTGATACATTTAACTGTGTCAACGTATTAAATTATTGGGAAGTTTGTGATTTTGAACTTAATTTCTGGAAGCTGTCGTGGGTTTTTTGTCATGGTCCTCAGCAGATGCAAGCAGCTGAAATATAATAATACAATACTGCAACATTTATTCTATGTACTCATAAGTACAAACTATGATAAATATCATGCAAATCCTTTGCTTTCATCTAAAAAAACCATACAACTATGTGTGGTTCTCAGATTCACAACCAGTTTCCCTGTAATTCAATTGTTTTCCTACATATTTCGCTTATATGGATACAAATCCCATTGTTATGCAGTACAATTTTATAGTAATCCAGTCAATGCTTTTCCCCAAAAAAATGCTAAGATAACATTTATCTTGTTCATTTTCAACCATCACATATAGGATACACATACAAACAATAAATAAAACATGCACCACTAGAGGGAGCCCAGGCATCACTATTGGTCCTTTTGCCATTGTTTGAGAACCTCAGATTTGACCTTCCGCATTGTGGTTGCTTGAACAAAACAACATTTCCTTAGAAGTATTGCTGGAAAATGGACACTTGAGGTTACTGCAGTAAACGCGTGTGTTCTGAACTAGCTGACCTGGCTGTTTGGAGAGTTGAGGATCCACCATGGTGTTGTGTTATTCACTGGTACTGAAATCTGGTACTTTTTTTGTCAGGCAAGAATTTATTGATGGCAGTTGGGACATGAAGATGATTTCAAGGTACAAATTACTGCTTTTGTTTAAAAAAAAAAAAAAAGTAAATCGTCTGTGTGCGTGTGTGTGTACATGCTGGCATTTGTGCAGTAAAGCAGTATCGCTGACTTGATTGTCTGGACCTTGACTTTAAAATGAAATATTGACTTTCATTTCATTTGCCCTGTGTGCTGTCATTTTTTGAAGTTGTTGGTGAGATTACTGAAACAGTTCCATTTGTGGTGTTTAGGACCATGTGATCACTGCCAAATGATTTGACAGTGAACTGAGAAATACAATAGCCGAGGGAGAAGCTGAAGTAAACTTGGGTTGAATGTGTTTCAGTGCGTTACATCATGAATCCTGTCACATTTACAGTGGAGCTTTGGCTTATTTTTTTAATTTCCTTTTTAGTTTATGAACCTCATTGGCTGTATGTGTTTACTGGAAATACTGCATACCACAAACACAATGGCCTAATTACATGCCACCGTATTGTATACTTTACAAGTGTTTCTGTCAGCAAAATACCAACATTATGTCAGATAATAGTTTGGTTATTGGTTTATTTTTTTATTTACCCTAATGCTTACAGTTATTTGCGTTAAAATGTGTGACTTTTGGCGATTAACCCAGTGGTTCCCAAAGTTGTTTGGCTTGTGATTTGACAGTCCTTGATTTGACCCTTTTTGTTCTAGAATTCATTTTTGATTATGTTTGTTTGCTTTGTTTAATTTTATTTTTATTTATCTTGATTTACATTCATCTTATTTTTATTTAACTTGATTTATATTCATCTTCTTTCTATCTTTTTTTTTTTTAACAATTACTCCACACTTAAGGCAACCCCTATTTGACTTCCAGGTGACCCCACGTGAGATGAAAATTTGATTGGCCTGATCAAAAAAGGCTGTCACAGCACAGACCGAACTTATTTTTAACAATGAGTCATAGAGACTCATTCTTTTTCATAGGATCCATAGGTGTAGGCACCGTGTTATTGATTGAAAAACTGGCAGCATCTGTCGGCACTGAATGACCCAGATGAACAATAAAAAGTCAATGTAGCTGTGTGTGTGTGTGTGCGCGCGCGCGCTTGTGATTTAGTATCAAAGAAGTGGGAGAAGTGATGAAACATGGAGAAACCCAGGTCTTACCAGTACAAAAAAGTACAAACGTGTTTCACATATGGAGGGCCGCTGTGTGACTGCATTAAAATATTTTTCATTTCAGTGTCTGATGGAGCAACAGTGCTCGTGTAAACCAGTGATGTGCGGTGAGGTTCATGGCTCAAATTTACAATTGTAAGAACCGAAAAGAGCATCTTATTTCACTATCCATCCAACAGCATGCACCTGGTAATTCTTCATATCCATCAGCATTCCTCTTTCAATGACACTTACACAAACACATACACAGGAACATTTGTCCGACAAAAAACTTTTCTTTTATACAAATGGACAGAGTAGCCTTCTTGTGTCTAAGCAATTCATACTTAATGTAAACAAATTAAAGTATAGAGATGAGTGCAGCACAAATATAATTTTGACCTTCAATAAAAATTTCAGTTATTTTTTAAACTTTAAATTCTGGTGCTTTAATCAAAGGTTGTCTATCAACTAGATAAGAAAAAAAAATATTTTATGCCAAAAAATTCAGTTATCAAATACTTGACTTTTTTCTACTTACTCCCATCTTATTTTGAAAAAACAAAAACTTTTTTAAGCCTTACCTTTATGTATAGGTAAGTCCATGGTTGTATCTCTCGGTTTTCCCTCACCTTAGCATTGTGGACGCTAATATTTAAGAGTCTGCGTTGCTCATCCAATGCCAAACCAATCCTTGAATTTCCAAATGTTTTAAAAGAAATCTGGCTTTGAATGTGCTTAGCTCATGTCAGCTGAGGCTTCTTTGCAAATTTTTCAGGTCACAGTATCCTGAGGTAATCCAGACATTATCACACGATGAGAATAATAATGAGGTTTCTTACAGGACAGACACACAGCCAGTCTTTTTGTTTGTACCACTACATTTAAAGAGAACGATTCTTCTGTCCCGTAGTTTGAAGATAACCTTTTAGCTCTGGCGTTTGTCTTCCATCACTTATCACCTTGTTTAGGCCGTACTTCAGATTCAGACAGACCATAGAAAACGCTGTAATTGACCTACTTGACCGCTTGGTGCCGACTTTCAATTCCCTGTTGGCACCAGCTGGAGAGCACCTGTCAGTTCACATACGACCCCTTGAGGTGAGGCAGAGTACTGTTTGCCTCCCCTGCTGGCTTTATATTTATATAGTATATATTTTATTACAAATGAGTGTATTTTTAGTCCTTTTTGAGAAACTTTTGAGATTTGTTCAGAATTTTTTTAGTATAGTATTATACTGTGATCAAAAGTTTGAGTTCCAAAAAAGTATATTTTTTCTGAATTTTAACCACAGAAATGGACATAGCTAAGTATTTTAAGGCAAATGAGTGTATTTTTAGTCATTTTTGAGAAACTTTTATTTTCGGAGAGATTTGTTCAGGAATTTATTGGAAAAGTATTATACTGTGATCAAAAGTTTGA